CTGATGATGATAATGATGGTGATGTCTGAGGAAACTTTGCTGCTTTAACTATGCATTCATGCCGAGGGCAGATAGTCTGTGTTCTGGCCATGTGGGGGTGGTAAAGACAGGTCTCCAGAGAGGCCTGTTGTCAAATTACACCTCTGCAGTTGAAGACATCTCTCAAGTTATAGCCTTCAGGGGTCTACTGAGGAGGTGTTATATGATACAGATGGTCCACATGTGAACAGTGCTGTGAGGAGGGGGTGGGGGCCTATGGGAATGGATGGAATTGGGTCGGGGGGGGGGGGGGTTAAAGGTATCGCGCTCAAACGCAACTCCAATTTGGACGGGGAGCTGTCCGCGCTCTGTGGTGCTGAAACCAAACCGCGCAGCACAGAGAAAAACCCCGGCTACATGGTTCCCTGGCCCCAATAGAATCCATTGACTATTATGCGCGTCGAATAAAAGCCTCACAGGCTCATTTTACTCAGTCATGGGTCGAGGATTTCCCTACATAAAAGAAATTGCAGGACAAAAACGCTGCTGGGAGACACACTGGGTTGTCAGTGCCGAGCCGTGATCAACAGAGCGCATCCGTCATTTAAATGCAGGATCCAGAGAGTCGTACAGGCGTCTCCAGTGAGCATGCTTGAGGTTTTCGCACACTTGGCTCAAGGTGACATTCCATTACTGAGTGCATCGCGCACACACACACACACACACACACACACACACACACACACACACACACACACACACANCACACACACACACACACACACACACACACACACAAACACTATATCCTATACATCCTGCCAGCATGGCTATAGACGCAGAGAACTGCTGATGTTACAACCAATATTAACTAGTTATTTGAAAAACGACTGAAATGAAGTCGAGTTAGCGTCAGAGCTCTTTGTTAATGTGAGCGTAAAGTGGAGATGTGTTAGCAGGCCGGGCTGGTGGAGCATCCCAGGCACGCTGCTGTACACATGGAATAGGATTTGTTTACAACACTGAAAATACACTGGTAAAAAAAATCAATTTGCCTGACAACAGGTTGTTTGGGGATTAATAGCAGCAAGTTGCGATGCACTGACTCGATTCTCTGCAGATTTAATCAGGGGGTGGAATGAAAACGGAGCAGCCTTCATTAATATAACTATGCATGTGTTCCCATGGAGCCACCGTGGTTACTCACTGTAAAGTAAGTTGTAGGGGACAATGGGGACCCTCACCGGCCCCTCATGACTTTCAACGTGCAGCAAATGGCAGCTCCAGCTCTTACCTGAAATCGCTGTACGGGTGGATAATCCAATTTCCAGCTGATTTTACCCTCTCCTGCTCCCGCTCCACCGCTTTTTGACTACCATACATGCGTAAGGAGAATTTGTTAACTCCAGGCTGCAGCATACTACTAAACTGCCGCTGCATGAAGCTGGCTTGGCTGCCCCGAGGTTCCGCATCTTCGGCGGGCACAATCGGCGGTCCATCCTCCGGCTTCTGGAAAGTGACAGAGTTCCTGGGCTGCTGGTTCTGAGTCGGGCCGTACAGCGAGGACGAAGCTTTCCGGCTTGGTGCGTTGGAGAAGGACACCTTGGAGTCCTTTTTCTCGTGAACACCGCTGGACACGGGGGTAGTGCCGGGGTTTGCGCTCTCTCCTCCGTGCCCCCCGGTCAGGGACCCGCCTGGTGTGATCGAGCCGTCCATGCTGGCGGTGGTCGAGTTACAGGCTCCACGCTTGGCGCTCCCTGCGTCCTCGGCCCTCCCCGACCCTCCCGTCTGCTTCTCCTGCTTGGAGATGATTGAGCGCAGGCTCCCGGTACCCGAGTCCCTCCTGCATTCTCCGTTTTTGTTGCATTTCATGCTGGAAATTGGAGCGACGCTGTTGCAAACATCACCCGCTGTCGCGGTTAAAACCTCGACAGCGAACACTGATTCCGACGCCTTCGCCCCAGATGCTCTGCTGGTCTCGCCGCGTCGGGCAGCATCGCCCGGACAGGGTGTCTGGGTCTCGGTAGCTCTGGAGGCAGCAGAGGGCCGTCGGGCGACAGGAGCGTCCTCTGTGTGCGTAAGGCAGGGCTCCTTGTTGGAGTTTCTCCTGGAAGCCGAGGACGCGGCTCCCCCTCCTGGCGTAAAGTTCTTCATCCTGATACTGCCTCCTCCTCCTCCACTTCCGCCACTGCCGCTCCCCCCGGCTCGGCGCAACCGCGGATGCTGAAACTTGGATTCCTCTTCTCCGTCCTCCGTCTCATCCATCACGACGTTGCTGGCCGCACCGGACTGCTTACCGCTCGGGGCGCCGGATGAGCCGGGGTCCATACAGTTGTGGCTGCTGCTGCTCCTTTTGCATTTGGACGCGACAGCCTTGGGTGCGCTGACGCGGCTGCAACCACTGCCGCCCACTGCCTTCTTCTTCATGGTGGCAGCAGACGCCGGTGAAACCTCGTTCCTGTCCATGGCACTAAGCAGATCACATTTTACCTTCAATTATCTTTGAAGAAAACCAATCAGATTTTAGAGACTCGATGGAGAGGAGAAGATAGAGGGGGAGAGAAAGGAGAGGGGAGAAGAGGGAGGGGAGGACGTGACTTCTTTGCAAACTATGCGCTTCTACTTCACCGTGTCATCCTGTGAAAGATGCTCTGGAATCAAACTGACCGAAACGTTTAATTGCGTCAAACACCAACAAACTGTTTTCTTGTCCTGCTCCCGGTTCAGTTCAAGTGCATTTCTACCTGAGGCCTCTCAGACATGACACATACGTTCAGTGCCCTTATCCAAAAACAATGCAAGAATAGATGCTTAACATGAGGTCAAGGTACCGACTAACATCAAAAGTTGAATTAGCATGTGTTAATGACAAGTCAAATGATGTCATGTGTTTTAGAAGGTGTTTTCAATGACAACCACCCGGAATTGGTGTCACCCTGAGTTGGTGTTCAGCGCGACCTAGTGGTCATGAGAGGGAGGGAAGTGGTCAATATTTTGTGATTCTGACACAACAGAAAGCTTCAAATTTGATCAGAGGGACTTGGTCAGGAACAGGTTTACAGTTCTAGATCAGAGGTGCCCTCAACCCTGACCTTCGGGGTCCTTATCTGGGCTCATGTGCAAGTGGGTAAATAGGCGACTGAACCGTGTACCCATCACAAGGCTCATTGTTGTTTTAAAGAACCTTCATATTTCTCTCCTGAAGTCAGTTTGTTAGTTAGTTTAGGGGGGCAGGGTACAAATATTAACTATGGCCAGCAGCACAAAAAGATTCACAGTCTATGATGCAGGGTGAGGTTAGAAAACTTTGAGTTCATCCTACCTGTTTTACATAAAATGAAACTGAATTTGCTTTATTACTGTTCAAGTGTGTGGCTTATGTACAATTTGTAATGGTTTACTTAACGGCTCTTATTTTTTCATACAGTGAATGTTAGCTATTTTAAAGATGGGTTCAGCAACTGACACAATCTTTAGACCCAAGACCCACATCAACAGAGCACTGGCATAATTTGTATTAATATTTAACGTATCATGAACACAAATCACACTAGATTCAACACTACACTTCTTCAGGCAATTTACAATTGACATACCAAGTGTCCTGATAGCGACACAAAATGTAGATGTAGTACTGTTCCCTCCTGGTCCTTCTTTTCTAAAAGATTCAAGCCTATAAAAACACCAGAGAGAGAGAACCCGCTTAGTAAATTGCTACATAACGTGCACAGATAGCACCTGTAACAAGGTCAACCAAGTACAGCAGAGGTGTTAATGTTCTGCAAACTGAGAGATGAGTCTTCAGCATCACTGATTGACTATTTAGTGCTCTGGTTGAAACTGTTTGATGTGAGCCTAACAGCTGATTGTACAAGTGTAGCTGAGTAATGGGTTTTCATATCATCTCAGTTAGAAGGAATGACACTAGCATATGCGACAGTGTGAAAGCATGTGTGTTGCAGTGACCACAGCTACAGAGCAGTGAAGATATGGGCCAAGATAATTGAGTGCTCTGTCACCTGAGGAGAGATTAAGTAGCTAACCTATTTTCCTTGATCTAGTTTGGGTTGAGTCTAATTTGGCTGACACATGTAAGATTTAGTAGATACATGCACATATCTGCTTAGTTACAGTAATATGTATAAATGGTGCCAATCAGATCATTTATACCATCTCTGTTACTAATTTATCCTGATAAACCTAATGCCCTCTCTCTCTCTCTCCCCTCTTCTTTTTTTGGTTTGGAGCACCGGAGGCACAACTTTCCTGAACTCATAAAACAATCTTATCTGTACATATTTCCAAGTTTGACAATAAATGATGGTGCTTTTATATCACAACAGCCCATGTTTTGTCAATGTCAACTGATTATTTCCAGAGGGTGGAGACATGTATGCTATTTACATCGGCAACTTTGGAAGGAATAATTTGTATTGACAGTGCAGGTTTGTCCTGTTGAAGGGGAGGAATACATGTGCAAACAACGATTTTTGTAGATTACATTTTAAATTGATTTATATCACTTTGTAGACTTTAGATTTGACATTTACGTCTTGATCATTATCAAAAAATACTAAATCAGTTTGATTTTGTGTTGTGAAACAATAAATGATGAAATCTTCTACTTTTGAGGGGCTGTATGTAAAGTGATATTGAGGACAGCAGTCGTGCCAATGCTCCAAACAAGAGGCTGGGCTATGACTCTCACTTGCAGTCACTATACTACATTAGGACAGTAATGTTATATACTACATTAGGACAGTAGGGGCTCCATGTTAATTACACATTTTAGACATGACAGGGATATTGTATTTTTTTAAAAACATGGTTAAAATGTGTATGATCAATTGACAATAAAGACAAAGTCTTGATGGAGGAAAATGTATTGTGTAAACATCAGTCCTCCCTCCTCCACTCTATTGATAAAAATCATTGGGGTTTTGTTCAAAACTATTTTCACATTATCAAGTGTGTAAAATCAAATCAATCAAATCAGTAGAATAACATTTAACCTTAAAGTTTGTTTTAGCACTTTATTTCGACTGTTTGAAAAATCATTAAATAAAATGATAAAACACTTGAAATACATTTGGCCAGTTCCACAGAGGTAAATGATCCCATGCCTTTTTTTTTTTTTCTTCGCTTTGCTCAACTTGTGTCTTGGCGTGGATCTAATAAATAAGTGGGTTTGTGAAGTTTAAAAATGTGTCGACTGTTGAGCAAAATACATCGGATCAAGCTCTGATAAAAACAAGTCCTGAAAGAAAAATATATGTTTTTTTTGTTCAGTAGTTTGCCCAAATTCACATTCTCAACATCAGGCAGATTTCTTGTGCAAAATGAAGAAAACAAATGGTGCTAATAAATAAAGATCTGATGCATACACTCAGCTTCCATTTCACAAGGTTTCAGTTTGGTCTGTTAGCTATACAGTGTCTGTACAGTAGCTGACCATTCAAAATGAATTCTCTATCTACATATCTATGAACCACCACAGGCAATGTTTTAAAAAAAAGAACATTTTGTCTTTTAAATATAAAATGTGTCCCGGCTTTGTGGCGAATTCATGTCGGAATTCTGGTCACAATCTCACTTTTATTATAATCAATATTAATGTTCACAGCCTTTCTGGATCCTCTTTTAACACTTCCCAGTCCCACACTTGGTAACAATAGCAGCAAGAGTCAGTACGGTGGGGAGGATTGATGACTAATAGTCTGCCACACATTCAGAGTTCCCCTTGACTCATATCGGCCCGTGGAATTGAGACAAGTAACTGTCCAGGTCTCAGCTGTAGAAAGGAGCTGTTGTGTCTCAGTTGGGTGTGAGGTTTCTCAGATGTGAGGTGGTTAAACTCTATGAGTTGCTGGCAGCGTTCTCAGTGCTAGGTGAACTTGAGGAGGAAGAGGAGGAGGAGGAGGAAGAGGAGGGAGAGAAGTTTATTCCTGATAACCCTGGTGGGTCAGTGGCTGTGTTCTGTCCGCTAAGGCTCTTCCTGCACACAGGACACGTATCGTGCTGTGGAAAAGACAAAGTCTCCTTAGTCTGTTCACCATCAATATATCCACAAATTCATTAACACAGATGTTAGGGATGTCCTGATCAGCTTTGTTTTGCTCCCAATTTGAATTATTCAATATCCACAGACAGACAGACACACACACACACACMCACCCACCCACCCACACACACACACAGACAGACAGACACATAGTAAATAGAAAGTAAATAAGAAAACACTGAAGTCTAAAAAACAGCAGCACCAAAGGAATGACTTTGAAACAAAGGCAGAGATTAGTGGGGGGGGTTTCCCCCAAAGCAATGCTGCTGGTGTTTTTGCTCACTTATTCACTGTCTGTACTTTACTGATACACTGGCTGAAACTGCCAGTTGCTGGTTGTTTGAGTTGTGTTGCAGTTTACTTGCTCACAATGGGGTGTGTGAGGAATACTATCCAATGTTTAAACAAAGTACAACAGCTATATATACAGTTTGGTGTATCTCATCCCAATCAAATACTGTGATCAACAGTGATCAATGTCTGATACTGATCAGGCAGATGTATTTAAGAAATCATACCTGTTCCAACCATGGTACTATACAGTCATTGTGAAACAAGTGATTGCAGGGCAGTTGTCTAACACTCTCCTCAATGGTGTAGTCTTCTTTGCACACAGGACACTCTAGGCCAGCACCTGCACAAACACAAAATTACATTACAACATTACTCTCTCTGTGTGTGTGTGTGTGTGTGTGTGTGTGTGTGTGTGTGTGTGTGTGTGTGTGTGTGTGTGTGTGTGTGTGTGTGTGTGTGTGTGTGTGTG